GCTTTATTTTTGATTTGTGTAAGTATTTGTCTTCATGTTAAAATTAATTGCTTGTGCTTAGTACTTGTACCATGTTCTTTAATCAATTTTTAGTTCCAAAATATTTCAGTGATCAATCCAATGATTCCTTTGACTATGCACATTCAGAAAAAATTGTACAAGGTAATTATTGAACCGAAACCTAAAGACGCAGCTTAGCAATTTTTTAGAGCATGCTTGGACTTTCGTATGTTTATTTTTTACACACAATGCTGAGTGCGTGTACGGACATCACCATGCATGGATAATCCGCACTGAGATATTTGAGAGTGCAATGTGTACTGCATAATATTATCCGTATCTTTCCTCTCCAATAGATTTAATATTAAATTTTTATTCCTTTTTATCAATATTTTAAACTTTTGATTTAATGTGCTCATCGGTAAAATGCAAATAGAAAAAACATAAATATATTTTATGAATTAACAACAAAATTAAAAATTTTCTTTTACCCTTTTAGCATATAAGCTCATTAAGTCTCAATGAAAAAATAAGACTAGAAACAATTACTATAGATTCAATAAACTAACTATAATAGCACTAAAATTTTCATTTCATTTTCTATCAATATGAATGCCAAAAGCAGGAATTTTCAGTACTTCCAGGTGTATAGGTTGAAGTGCATTTCAAAAAGAATCTTTCTAGCATGTAATGTATGACATGCACTCTTTTGCAAAAAAACCGAAGCACCATGAAGTAGATGGTAGATTTTGATGAAATTGAATATGTGTATAGCTCATACACAGATAATAAAATGATTCAAAAATCAAGGTCATAGTACCTGTTCACGGCTCACAATCATCCAATGAGTGTTCAAATTAGTATTTGGTCGAACCGGCCCTGACAGCAATGCATGCTTGAATTCGTTGAGACAAGGAGTAGTAGAGATTCTTAATGTCCTCCTGCGACACATTCTACCAGATCAGTTGTCGCTCCAGATCTGCGATATTTTGTGGTGCCCGAATCTGGCGGCCTACTATGCCCCAGACATGCTCGATCGGTGGAAGGTCTGGTGAATTTGCTGGCCAAGGAAGAGTATCAACCGCACGGATACAGTCCAGAGATATGCGAGCGGTATGTAGCCTGGCATAATCTTGTTGGAAAATGGCCCCACGATGACGTGCCATGAAAGGTAATGCAACCGGCCGCAGGATGGTATCAACATATCGTTGAGCTGTTAAAGATGTACGGGGGATGACTAAAGATGACCTGCTGTCATAAGAAATAGCGCCCCACACCATCACACGAGGGGTTATGGCTGTAAGCCTTTGTAAAACGAAGGTTAATTGGGACCGCTAGCCCCGTCCTCTCCAGACACGAACACGGTGGTCATCTGCATCAAGAGTGAAGTGGGATTCATCGCTGAACACTATACGATGCTAGTTTCATGGTAGCCATGGTGATAGGCTGCAACACCACTCTAGACTACTCCGCCGATGTTGTGGGGCCAAAGGCAACGCCTTAAAGGCCTCTGTGAGCGTAACCCCGCCTCAGATAAGCGCCGTGAGATGGTGGATGATACCACGGGAAGTATAGACGTGGCTGTAGTGCGTTGAATAGTCGACAATGATACCGTTGGAGCTGTTCGGGCCTGGCGAACAATCATCCTATCTTGCCTCGCATTTGTGCTCCTTGGCCTTCCAGAGCCTTCATTTCATCGGCAATTTCCTTGTAGCAACCATTGCTGCCTTCATCTTTGCACAGCAGCGTCTGTAAGCTGCAGATGGCGGCCTATTGCTCGGTATGACCACCCAGTTTCACGCACCCCTACAATGGGACCACTTTCAAAGTCGTTTAGTTGTCTGTAAGGTCTTCGATATCGTCGTAATGGCATCTTTAGTTGCTTCATTACGGAATTGCAATCTCTGTTACTGGTTTTATACTTTGCGAATTGCGCACTAGAAATGCGGGCTATGATCGCAATTCCTGTTCATTTGCTTTGAAACTTGGATCATTTCTATGTTCGATCAAGATGTTTTTGCATACCTAATTTCATCACGATCGCAAAAGTTCTTCTTGGTGCTTCTATGTTTTTGCAAAAGAGTGTATTTCATCTGTTTCAGTAAAATTTTTTTTACCTTGGTAAATCAGTGAACTTTTTCAATATTTTATTTTACATAGATATATACTCTAAATGTTGCTTATAAGGCATTTGAATTACCTTTGAGCCTATATTTCTGTGAACCACTCATAAATCGTGTGACTTGTAAGTGAGCAAGTTCTCAAGAAATTGGAAATTTTTCCAAAGTAAAGCGATGATACTTATTACTGGAGGTGTTAAATCTATCCCTATTGAAGCTATGGCACTACTAATATACAAATTGCCCATAAGAACTACTACTGAAGATAGACCTTATATGAAAAGTTGCTTCACATTGGAGATCCTTTCTGGACTAATTATCGGAACACAACTATAAATTTCAAGATGCAGTGTGGCTTTCTATAAAAAGTTCGTAAAATTAGGAATGTGGTCTAATCGATTAAATACAAGAAATTATCCACCAACAAACACCTTTAAAAAGTTCCAAGAATATCTAAGTTCTTAAGAATGGAGCTCTTGAAAAGCCTTGCCCTGGAAACTATTAATATTAAATACCCAAATCACAGCTGGGTGCATGTTTAAACAGATGGATCATATAGTGATGATCTAACGTCTGTAGGTTTGGGGGTTTATTCTGGCCTTTTTACTTCCTTGTACGAATTAAAAAGGAAGTAAAGAAAATATCCATTTTGACCGCTATCGAATGCAATTTAACGATGTTTTTGCATGATATCTGTACGTAAGGACAGAATAAAATACTCTTTTCCTTCAAAAAAATTATAAAACTGCTTTAAAATTAATTCTGAAGAGAATTTTTCGTGGCGTCTGTACGAACGTATCTCGCATAACTCAAAAAAGAGTAGCCTCAGAACGTTGAAATTTTGTATATAGGGACTGCTATAACATGTAGATGTGCACCTCGTATTTTGGTTGCAATCGGCCGCATCAAACGTATATAAATATATTTATATATATATATCCACTCTATTACGCGTCTCAGTGATCTCAGTTTCTTTACTCTTATATGTTTGTAAATTGTACATTTTTTGCTTTAAAAATGATTGAATTATGTTGTTTTTATCTTCCGGTTAAGGATTTTATGCCTTTAGTAAATCTGTGTGCAATATTTTTAGAATTATCAGCAATTTTAAAGTTGTTTAATTGCCGCTAAGCCTGTTTTTAATGGCGGCCATTGATGTAACATTTGAAACAGGAGACTAGTGGATTTGTTGCCAATCTAGAGAAACTTAGCTTCACAACAACAAAGATAACGCATTCATTTATTATTTCCAATTATATCATGCTTAATTCTTTATGGAATTTTTTCGAGGAAATAAGCGTTTGAGATTTACTTCGTAAATTTTAATATAGATATTTTTAGTTTTTATGCTTCTCGCGAAGTGAGAAGTGAATTAATTAAATGAGAAATACTCAATCGTCTGTGGAAAACTGTTTCTTTTTTGTTTTGTTTGCTTAATTTCTTTTATACATCGTTCTAGCTTTATTATAGTATTTGAATAGAACATGTGGCAACGATTAGATAATTCTTTAAATGATATACATTTTGTGCATTCTGAGTTATAATATGAATGAAATATAATACTGTTAAGTAAACCTAGCGCCAGAGTGTCGCTATGGTAAACAAAGTAAATTTTAAAGAATGCATTTATTCTATTGTGGTTTATGCGCTGTCAGAGAAGTGGGTTTAATTCAATCTAATAAGTTAAATGAGATGCAAGAAAAAATGCGTATAATTTAAATATTCCGTACAAGGAAGTCATGTGGTGTACACATCGGATTTTTTCCTTCTATGCCTGTGTTGGGGGAAAACTGAAATACATTTGATGGTGAAGTGGAGGCTATTGAAATTGCCACGAAACAATGACTGTCATTACATAATAAATTCGAGAATGCTGTCCTGTTATCAGATTCAAGAGCAGCAACTCAAGGCATTGGTTCTTTAGAAATCCCTATATCAACAGAAATTCTTCAGGGTCCAGAATTAGAATACAATGAATCCCTGGAGATAGCAGCATTTATGGTAATGAACAAGCAGATTTCCTCGCACGAAAATGAGCATCACTGCTACAATCAACAAACTCAAATATGTCATAACAGTCAATAAAGTTAAACATAAAATAGTCTATGAAACAAAGATATCAGGTGAAACTATTGGACAGCATTAAGACAAAACAATGGAAGGCTAAGATCTTGCTTGTCTGCCAGAATATCCATGACGTAATGCTGTGGATCTTCTTGGCTACTTACAGGCCATGATTGCCTGGGTGAACATTTTTACTGGATTGGTATATTTGCTCATATGAAATCCATAAATAGAGTCCACTTTCATCGCTGTGGCTCACTTCTTGGCAATGACTCCAACACCACCTGATACTGGTGTGCCAGAGACTGTCTTAGGCAATGCCTTTCGGTCACTTGGTGTTATGTTCTGTCTTTAAACTTCTTGTTGTGTTTTGCCATTAGAAATTTAAAAAAAAAAAAAAAAAAAAACTTAGAAATGGCCTTTTTTACCTGCCTTCACATGAACGGATATACTGCTGACAAAGGATTGCAAGTTTTGAATACACTATTTGTGCATAATACACTTTGTCATATAAAAATTATATTTTGGAATATATGTGACAAAAGTATAAATCCTAAGACTGGCAATAAAGAGATTAAATTCACATGTTAAAAATTGTCAGCAGGAAACATTTTCATAATCAAAGAAAACCAAAGTGAATTACAAACTTTTTAATGCTTCACTAATTTTTCTAATATGGAAATCTAATTCACTGCTTCAAGAAATGCAATTTAGTTATTTGGAGGAACAAATTTTTCTTCAGTTTACTAAATATTAATTCTACGATAAAGGCATTTCATACAAGCAAATTTATTTTAAAAGTAATTCATTCAACACTTTTTAACTTAATGGATCTTTATTCAACAAATAAAATTTTCACATGCCATATAAAAGTAAATTTGAATAGCAAACATGCCCATAATAAAGCTGCATATCTGTTTTAGGAAATAAAACTTAATTTACCTGATACATACAAGTTTATAATTCCATCATATAATAGATTTTTGTATATTAGCAATCAAAAAAGAGATAATAGGGTATACAGCGCTAAGATAGTAATAAAAAAATTAATATCAAGGTAATGCAGGTAACAAGTGAATAAACAATATAAGCGATAAATTTGTAAATTAAAATTCTCATTAGAGAAAAAATAAAAGATCTTGCAAATATATACTGAATAAAGTAGTAATATGTTGAAAGTGATATGACAGCAAGATGAGCATAAACTGTATGTATAACAGAAAGATTAGATGAATACATTTAGTAGCATGCAAGTCAGAAATTTTTGCACCATTAAGGATTCAAAGACATGCACCAGTGAAATGGTTTGCTAGGACACTTTCTTAATTGACATTCGTGAACTTCTTTCTTGAAGGCCACCATGATATTTAAAAAACTGACAAACTATTATCTAGGATTTTAACAACACTTCAATTTGATTCTGAGCTAATGCATGCAAACATGCTCAGTCTTGAGAGCGAAATAGTTGATAGTTATGCTGAAAACTTATAAACTTAATTTGCCATGTATTTTCGTATAAGCTTTGTTTTCATTTGCTATAGATTACATTTTTTTAATTATAATTATTTCTGTCACTTTTTGCAGTATAAACAAATTTAAGAAATCCATGTATTTATGTAACAAAATACTGGATAACCAAAGTTGAAAAATAATTTTCTAATTCCAATAAATATCAATTTTTTTCCCAGTTCCAGATTAAAAAATTTTTCTTTAATTAAATATAAATATGTAGCATCTTATAGTTCCTTATAAATACCTTACCAGAATTTGAATTTTTTTCCTTATATAGTGATTAATACAGGATACGTACTAAACTGTAGATTTAGGGTAATGTCATATTAAATTTAGCAAATTTTAATAGTAAGAAGGATAAATATTTTGAAATAAAATTTTCAATGCTGCTGTGCTTAAAATTAATATTTGAACTGAAATTAATTTTGTTAAGATGGAATTATCTTTTCTTAACTCTCAATTACAAAACTTTTTATAATCTTCATGGAAAACTTTAATTTTTTTTTAATACTCACTTATAATAAACACAGTACAACTGTTATCTGAACTCCAAATATCCAAATAGCTGGTTATGTGAACCGCTTTCAGAATCAACTGAAAAAAAGAAGGAAAAGGAGAAAAAGAAGCTCAAGAAAAGGAAAGGAAAGAGACAGGAGAAGATGAGGATGACATGTCACTTGAAGAATTAAACATTCTTCTGAAAATTCCTGGATGTTCAGAAGTTAGTGTTGAGGATACAGCAGAATGGAAGGTATGTGATTCGTCAAGCCCTGGGTTTCAAATTCTAAACGATGATGAATTTATTGAAAGTGTGAGAGAAGAAAGTGTCGAAGAAGAAGATGACCTTAATGTCAAGTTGAAGCAGACACAGGACCAGCTTTGAAACTGCATTGAAGTGGATGAAGTGTCAGCCTGAGTGTGACCACAGGCAAATCACATTATCAAGTGAATGCGGGACTTGGCTAGCCCAAAACGGATGAAGACAGTCAAACAGTTTACTTTGACCTAGATGTTCAGCAAGCAATGACTTCAGCAATTGTAAGTACTGTACATCACGCTATACGAGATGTATGCAAAAGTGTTACCTTTTCTTAAAAATAGTTTTTTTCTCCCATTTTCAGCATACAGTAATTAAAGCGTATGCAGATCTTTTCTTTGGAAAAAGTCCAATTATCTGAATAAATGGAGTTCTACTGTAGCTTTTAATTCTTTTTGAAAAGCAATCAAGTTTTCATAAGATAATTCTGAAAACATGAATATAGAAATAACATTAAAATTTAGAGATTGCTAGCAACATACACTACCTGGCCAAAAAACAAATGGATTAATTTGAAGAAAACTTATATATGTGGAAAGTATACAAGAGGAAAATTTACATGGTTTTATGTGAAATGTAATCTTCAAATCATAACTCAGCCTGCAGCTCGTCTCAAAGGACTACTGGTTGAAGATGTTATATATAGTCCTAAAAAGATGTTAAAAATTAAAAAATGATTAACCCTCTGAGCGGCACAAGATTTTAAATCCGTCATGAAGATCAAGATGATCCGTCAAGGAGATTGACAAAACTGCTGGCATGGACTTCTTCAGTTTTTAAAGTCTTGAAGATATGGCAGTATTTTTACAAAAAATACATGGTTGGAAATTGTTTCCATATGGTTGTAACTGATGATGTTTTCACAAAAAGAAAGGCACTTATTAGTGAAACTTGCAATGGCAGGAAAATAACCATATTGCCAAGTACTATAAAGATTGCACTTCAGAGATAAGAAAAGATTATGTAATCCAATATATCCAGATTTGCTCTTCGAACAATTTAATGCTGAAAAGAAATTCCACAAAAGAGCTGGACTCGCTGTACAAACATCTGGAGGAAGCATTATGATCTAGGGCCATTTTTGTTTGGCTAGCCAATAATGCGCATAAATAAAATGAAGTCAGCATAGTATCTCAATTTATAGAATAATCATCTTATTCCATCTAAAGATTTCATCCCTTAAAGACAATGATGTATTTCAACACAATAAATCATAGAGCTTGAATCATAAAAGAGGAGTTCAGTGAGAACAAAACATTCACACAAGGGATAGTCGTTACCAAGTTTTAACTTCAGTCCCATTGAGACTATGTCAGATGAACTACAGAAGGATGTAAGTAGTGTTTCAATTCTTGCTTCAGTCATAAAAAATCTGACTTCTTAATATAGCTCTGGTAAAATAATGAAGACTGAATTTATTAAAATCATGCCATGATTATACAAGTATGTTGTGGTTTGTACTCAATATGGTACAAATAAGTGTTAAGATGAGCCTATCTCCAGGCCAGGCAGTATTATAAACTCCAAATATTCACACTAAATGGAAACATTATTTCAATTTTAGACATCCAGAATTCCAGATAATGGGTTGTCTTCTCTCCCCCTCTTTTACAAGCCAAATATGTATTTATTAAAAAAAATTTTGAATTGTGGGAATTTTATACTTATTGCATTATATTTAATAGATTTACATAATTTTTATTTAAGTAAAACCTGGGAAAAACAAATAATACAATTATTTGCCTAAAATACATAATGTATTTAGAGTATAAAAAATGAAATTAGCTTTGATATTTAACTTTTTACGTTTACTCTTCAAAATTAAACATAAAATTATTAGTAAACAAATACTGCACTTATATACAATAATAGCTTTTCTGCAAATGCTTGGCCTATATATTTGCTGAACATTATACAGATCATGCACCTTCATTTATATTAAATGAACAGCTTTAAAAAATGTGCAGTGTAATGTTCTCTCTATACTATTTTAATTTTTTGAATGACAGTTACTTTCATCTGGTCCTGAGATTCTTTGTCACTTTGAATATGATAGTTACTTTCATCTGGTTTTGAGATTCTTTGTCACCTTAAATACATTGCTTGTTTTAAAATTATCTAAATATTGTTCTAATAAATTGAAGGTTATAAAAGGAAAATAAGCAACAATACAAATATAGCTACAAAAATGCTATTTAAATATAACACTTTTCATAAGGTAAAGAAGGCCATACTATTCCTAGGGTCCAATCTTAAATTAAAAGGTTTAATTTTAAAGAATAAAGAATGAACAAGCAGTATGGATAGCTGGAGTTTTGGATACATACAGTTCTACCGTACGCACATTCAGAAGTAAAATATCCAATTTAGAAATCCAAATGAGTGGAATACAACCATATTCTAAAACTCTGTAGCAAATATTACACATAAATTATTTTATATCCCGGCTTCTTTTTCTAACATTTCCTTTTAGGAAATTTAATATGCAAAATTTATAGAAATAAATTTTTGTATCTTTTTGATAACATATTATGCCATGTACAACATGCTACATACACAAGGTATTCTATATATATTGCTTGGATTTAATTTTTGGAATATTTCATAATAATGTGCAAAATTTTAAAACGGAAGTACACACATATATATATATATGTAACTTTTTTATTTTTAAAAATAGTACAACTTTCATGTTAAGACTCGTAAAAGAATTCATTTGGATAAGAAATTTGTTGATTATATGGCAAGAAGCTAGCTTTTGGTTCTTAGCATTTAAAACTCTTTATTGATGCATCCATGATCATTAAAATGAAATATTTAAATTAGTAAAATTGTTAGTTCAAATGATTTGACACAATGTTGCATACATGCACATTTCATAAACCACTCTTTTTCTTCTCCTTTACTTGAACTACAAACAATAAGTGAAATTCAAGTTGACTTGTTGAACCTTTCACTTTTCTTTTCGCGATCACCAGATTTTGGTTTGGTAAGAGAAGACTTACTACATGCAGGCTGATCAAAGCATAAGAACTTTCTTGCACTATAACACAGGAAAATAAATAAATAAATAAAATAAAATTTTCATAAGAAAAGTGGATAATGGAAAAATTTTGATACTGATGAATTTTCTATGTAACTTTATATATATGTCAGGAAAAAATTTTTTAGGAATTTTATAATTCAAAATATTGATAAGGATATCTCAAAGAAATAATTATAAAAAATGGTAACATGGTTATGAATAAGCTAAAATAGTTGATAAATGTATACAAAACAAAGGGGTTTAAAATATTTTTAAGTGAAACTTGCATAAAAATATCATTTTTGGTATCTACATAATTATATGAAATAATTTCTATGGGAAAAATCCATCACTGAGATAAATTGATATTTTATAGTTTTAAAAATGAATTAAAATTTGTAGAACATCTTGTACTTATATACTTAATTATAGGCAAGCATGCTTTCAATAAAAAATAATTTCAACTACAAATCATGATTGATCTACACTCAAGAGCCAAAACATTATGACCAGCCCTACATTTTGCAATGAATGCGCCTGGATGATGTGGAAGGCACATTATCAGGTGGAAGTGGTATTTAACTGCCGCTGGAGAGTCTGAAGAATCATTCTTTCACTTATTTCTCTGTGTGATGGGAAAGGCTGAGGATCTAAGCGACTTTGATAGAGATTGTAATGGCTCGAAGGCTCGGAACAAGTATTTCTGAAACTGCTCAACTCGTGGGTTGTTTGCAATCTACAGTTGTTAGTACGTATGAAAAGTGGATGAATGACAGAGAAACCAGCAGAAGACGGCATGGTGTTGGACGTCCACATGCTATCGGAGAAAAAGGTTGTCGGAGACTGTCTCGCGTGGTGAAGCAAAACCAGAGCCAGACAGTGGCTCAGCTGACAGCCGAATACAGTGCAGGGCCAAGTAGAAAAGTATCAGAGCACACTGTTCAGCGGACACTGTTGAATATGGGGCTGCGCAGCTAACGTCCCACTCGTGTGTCTTTGCTGACCAAGTGTCACCGCCAACTGCGCCTGCGCTGGGCCCGGGAACATTGCGACTGGTCCATGGATCAGAGGGAGAGAATTGCCTGGTTAGATGAATCAGAGTTTATCATTCATCACACCGACGCCGTGTCAGAATACGCCATCTTCCAGACGAACAGTTGCTCCCTCAATGCACAGTAGGTCATACACAGGCCGGTGGTGGCGGTATTATGCTCTGGGGGACATTCTCTTGGGCGTCTCTGGGACCCATGGTTGTGGTAGAGCATACCATGAATGCTACAGGGTATCTGAACATCATTGCGGACCAGTTGCACCCTTACATGGCCTCTGTTTTTACAGCTGGAAATGGAATGTTCCAACAGGACAACGCCCCGTGTCACAAGGCTACAATTGTGTTGGAGTGGTTCCAGGAACATGATGCTGATTTCCAGTTAATGTCCTGGCCGCCTGACTCACCGGATCTCGATCCGATAGAACACATCTGGGATGCCATCTCAGAGATCAAAGACCACCAATTCGCAATATCTCGGATTTGCATGACCGTTGCTACAACATCTGGTACAATCTGTCTCTGGCCATCTATCAAGGACTTGTGGCATCTATGCAAAGACGGGGTGAAGCTGTGTTGCGCGCCAAAGGTGGCCCAACTCGTCACTGACAGGTGGTCATAATGTTTTGGCTCTTGAGTGTATGTGTGAAATCATCTATTTATAGTAAGATGTGGTTATATTAAATATTCAGAAAGTATTTGTGAGATGATATAAATATTTAATTCATAAAAAAGGTGCATAAATACAGCAGCACTTTATTAATAATTATGACTAGCATCAGAAGTAAAAAAAAGACATTTTAAGGATCAATTATGAAATAGAGTTATGCATTATAACAGAACAGCTTGATTTAGTTTTAGTAGATCATAATGACAAAACAATATAGCAGATTTTAAAAACTGAAAAGCAGAACGATTAGAAAAGTCTACAATTTCTCATTTTATCTAATCTGTATCTAATCCTATGGAGTAGACTGTGAATACAATAAACGGGAAGGAGCTATAATTTGCTTAGGTATATACTCAAAGTAATGTTTTAAATCTATACATTAAAAACATTTAGATATTTTTTATTTCCTTACTCTATTATTAAACTATTTACAAAGTATTTTTCAAATCCACAATAAAATGCTTCTTTATAAATTTATATCACTACAAAAGTGTTTAAACTTCTATATTCATATGGCATTAGTGAATTGCAAATTACAGTTCTGTAAAACAAAGTATTCTGAATTTTTATGCAGTGAGTCAAATAAATAAAAGGCACAAGCTTTCTAACAGTTTTTTTTAGAGAATCATTAAATCCTTAACTTGAACAAAATACTTTTCTTTCATGTTATATCTGAGAGTTAAGCAAAATTGAAAAATCTAAAAATAATGTTAAATAATTTTTAAATGGCCTAAAAAAGTGGCGAGACACACAAACACAAATTTTTAAAAACTTGTAAGGTTTAATTTACGTAACCAGTTATATTATGTTGGCAAATCTGTCCTATCATTTCTTGCCTTCCAGTTCCTGCCAGAATGCAGCTCATGTGTATTTAAGTTTGATATTTTAAGTGAGAGTTCGAGATTGCTTAGACAGAGTATGTTCTGCCTGCTGATGTCCATGCAACTTTGTCCATGGTTTGCTGCTCTAAAATAAGAAGTCCTGTCTTCAGCTTTGCTTTATTCTTGCTGATAGTGTTTTCATGGTGATGCAAGCTTAAGAGCCAACTTTCATGTTTGATTTACTCCACATAGCTCTTGGCTATTTATACTTATATTTAATTTAAATTTAAAATTCTATTTTGGTTCTCACCATGAATGCCAGGCGATTTGTCAGCAATAAGTGTACCTTCTGTTCATCTTACTTAGTTTAAATAAAAGGGTCTTTTACACGCTTCCCAAGTCTCTGTAGTGCTTCTCAAGACATAATGATAAGTGGCTTACAGTCTAATTAAAAGGATTAGCCACAAGTTACAAGTAGTAAAAGTTTTAAATATGCTCAACAGGACTGAAGTTGAGATTTTGAACAGACATTTTGATTGCCTCAGGACAATTATACCAAGTTCACAGTTTGAAAGTATAAGCATTATACCTGGGATCATTGTCTTGATAAATTTTTTAATGTGACAAGATGCCTATTTTGGACAGCTTCCTTTCAAGCTTTGTTTTAAAATATTTAAATATATAAATTTAATTCATTTTGTCATCAATAAAATGTTAATTTCCAATACTGCAGTACCCGTACATCCCAAGACTATCTGAATACATACCATGTTTTACTGAACAAGTAAGAATTTTAATATATAGTTTTGTAATGTTGCATGCTTCCAACCTGCACGCAACAATAGTGGTGACTGCTAAGAACTGGAAAGTAGACAAAGTCTTGAAGGGTTTAAATCCCTTTTTATTCAACTTAGAAATTATAAATGCGTGCTCTTGACGCTCACAAACTACGCCGACACGACGGTAAAATAAAAATAAGAAACTAAGAAAAAGAATAGTAACAAGTGACTAACTACGAGGCTCTCTAAACGTAACTAACCTCACCACGTTCTAAAATACCGCTGATAATTCAGCAAACTTCTGAATAGTACGTTGAAAGATTAACAATCTGCCGAGGCAAGCACACAGGCCGAAACGCGTGGTTCTTCAATTTCTAACTAGCCACCTCCACGCTCGTGAAGCAAGAAAGCACACTTTTGAAATCGTTTCCCTTCTATTTAACTCGGATTACTTCCACTGACAATTTGAATCTTTGCGCGTTCTACTAAAATTTACATACTCTGGCATTGGCAATTCCAGGGAAAGTAAGGCTTGACAGGAAAGATAGTTTAAACTTAAAATAAATGTTAGTTAAAATAAATATAAACCCTACAGTCTAACATATATTTTTCCAACATACAGCACTGGAGATTTCCAGTGCTTTAAGCATTCATAGAGCCTCAGATTACCTGGTAACATCCATCACGTTTTACTGATCGAGTAAGGCTTAATTTATTGTCCAGCATTGAGTTTTTGCAGCATCATTTGCTCCCATCACTCACAAAAATATTAAATTTACATAGATCTACATGTATAATCAAATTAAAAAAATCTTCAGGCTTTCTCATATATTTCTTAGTGAACTGTAATTATGCTTTTCAATTTACTTTACATAGAAATGACTTTCTTCTAGCTGTCTTTAAAATTAGATGAAAACTTAAGCTGTAAAAGTTTCTTCATTAGCAGACCTGCCATACATTCATTAAGCTTCTAAAGTTAATTTGAATGCATTGATAGTTAGGATTACTATTTCTAATGATCTGCCAATGCATTCACTTTACATTTATGTTGAATTGTACATAAAATTATGAGCTGATCTGATGACAGACAATATATATAAATTAAAAAAAAAAAAAAAAAAAACTACTGATTTTGAAACTTTGTAGTTATGTAATTAAATCTGTGTGTCTGGGGGGGGACCAGCATACATAAATACAACACTAATTTATAAAAATGCCACATATTTTAAAATCCAAGAATTAGAAATGTAAGAAAAATACATTAAAAAAAATAATGTGTGCTTAACAGCATGATATTTATCTTAACATTCTTCAAGTAGATATATTTCACACTGAAATAATACTTTTGGTTAGCACAATGAACAAATAATTTTACAAGATAATGAGTGTTACAATTATAATCATACATCTTATTTTTTCTAGTTATGTTCAAATTTTGACTACTGTACAATACCATAACAAATACTTGTACATATAACTATTTCATATACAAACATTTAGAAAATAATTTAAGACTATTTCATCTAAATCAAACTCGGAGATTAAAAAAATTCAGGATTTAAGACCTGATATCAGCAAAAGTAAATATTCAGAATATAAATTATAGTGCATTGTTATATGCTTTTATATAAATGATTTCCTATATTTAAAACTACATTATTCAGTACTTGCATATTATCCCATCGACTATGAAACTCTTG